GATTTGGGGGACAGGGAAGAACAGAGTGAGCCGTAAAGGAGTGGTCTTGCAGAAAAACTCACACAGTCCTTGAGACAAAAGCCTCCAAACAATCCCATCTTGATTTCGTTTAAGATGGAACAAAAAGAAACTTGGATCGGCTTTCAGGATTCTGTTAGTCCACCACCCTCAATGAAGAATGAAACTGGAAGCTCTCCCATGCCTGTTTCTTGATCTTGCCAGAATAACAGAATTGGAAGGGATCTTGGAGGCCTTCTAGTCCAACCCCTGCTCGAGCAGGAAACCCTACACCATTTCAAACAAATTGCTCTCCAAGTTCTTCTTTAAAACCTCCAGTGTTGGAGCACCCACAACTTCTGGAGGCAAGTCGTTCCACTGGTTAATTGTTCTGTCAACCTCCCTCAAAAAGGCTGACCGACACCCTCCATTTTAATCTTACAACAACATTGTCAGCTACACTTGGGATGGGAGAGTAAGTGGACTGTCTGAAAGTCATCTAGTGGACTATGAGACTGAGAGAGAATCTGAGACTGTATCCTCCTACTCCTAGTTCCACACTTTCACTACCCCTCCATTTTGAAGATCGGGATTTCCCCCATTGAAGCTTTCATTTTAGGCTCTGATGCTACCAAATCAGTGATTTTTCAACGGCTGGACAACATTGATAGACAATTAAATCTGGCAAATGGATCGGGAACATTCTCACCGTTTTCCCTTGGTATTGTTCCCTTGCCTCACCCTCCGCCTTATCTCTCCGCGTTACACTCTATCAAACATAGGCTCGCATTTATGAAGGCATGATTTAATGTGATCCCCTCGAATGTCCTCGACAGTAGGCTTTCGGCGGGAGTAAAATCCATCTATTGTACATGTGATGGCCGATCCCTGGAATCTCTGTTCCACATTACATTCATATGTCCCCACTACCGGGACATAAGATCAAGATTCATTTCTCCTATTTCCCAGAGATTCCCTGGTTCACCTGATCTGTTCAGCCTTTATTTCCTACTCCAGGACACAGACCCCAATATAACTCCAAAGGTGGCAAAAAATTTTGCGGCAGTCGTGGCTGAAAAAAAACGAGGGAAGAGACGGGTAACCCCTACGGCAGAGGATCACTAGTATTGACAGTACGGATTGTATCTGAGGCAGTAGATGGTGTACTGTCACATGATCTATCTATATTTGTAAAATATACTCCCCTGCTATGTGTATTTTAATTTGGTCTCTGACCGCAATAAAAAGCTTACTTACTTACTACCCCTCCAGAATTTTCCTGCACACTCCAAGGCCACAGACTTCAACAGACCCAAGCAGGGATGGGCTGCTGGGTGTTCGCAGGGGTTTGGGAGAACCTCTAGCTAAGATTCTGTGCAGTTTGGAGAACCCTCAAAACCCACTCCTGGCTGGCCCTGCCCACCCTACCCTTCCCCTCCCAAGAGTCCCCACATGGCCTGTTTTGGATTCAGGTAAGTGCAGGGCATGCAGGGAGTCTCGGGGCAGGCGAAAAATGGGCCTACCAGAAGTTCGGGAAGAGAGAGCCTCCGGAGCCTGGGGAGGCCATTTTCGCCCTCCCAGAGGCTCAAGAAAAGCTTCCGGAACCCGGGGAGGGCAAAAACATCACCACCCCCAGCCGTGGTGCAGGAAGCCAACTAGGCCACGCCCACCATGGCCACGCCCACCCAGCAACCAGGCAGAGAACCCCTTGTTAAAAATTTTGAAGCCCACCCCTGGACTCAAGCCAATTAAGGGAAGCCATACACTAAATAAATAATAAGAGAAGAGAAAATGTGGTGATCTCAGTCTCAGTGTAAGGGAAATGGAGAGAAGGTGGGAACTGAAATTGATCTTTTACCAGTGACTCTTCTAAAGTCTGGATCTAAAGAACAGATCCTGAGCTGAACGGAGACCTCTATCTTCAATCAGAATACAATGAACCAGCCTCTTTGTTCGGAGACTTTCAAAAACATGCCTCTTCAAGCTGAGAAAACAGAATCTTGTCTTACCCGCTGTGCCCTAGGGATAACTGGCAACCCTTCAAAGACATATCTATCTTAAGCAAGCTCTGCTAACCTCCTTCCTCTTCCCTGATGGCAATCATGTTTTTCTCAGGATTGACGCAAAAGATTTTTTTTTAATGTGGCTGCGTAGGGTGTGTGCTTCACCCAAGCTAACTTCTGTTGGTACACACAGACTAGAGAGTAATCTGAATCAGTGGTGAAATGTAAAATTTGTTACTACCGGTTCTGTGGGCGTGGCTTTGTGGAGGGGGTAATGTGACTGGGTGGGCGTGGCCAACTTTTTTTTTTCTTTTAAAAGCATTTTTTTATAACCTCTTCGGCCAAAGATGTACTGTCACATGATCTATTTATATTTGTAAAATATACTCCCCTTCTATGTGTATTTTAATTTGGTCTATGACCGCAATAAAAAGCTTACTTACTTACTACCCTTCCAGAATTTTCCTGCACACTCCAAGGCCACAGACTTCAACGGACCCAAGCAGGGATGGGCTGCTGGGTGTTCGCAGGGGTTCGGGAGAACCTCTAGCTAAGATTCTGTGCAGTTTGGAGAACCCCCAAAACCTATTCCTGGCTGGCCCTGCCCACCCCGCCCCTCCCCTCCCAAGAGTCCCCACATGGCCTGTTTTGGATGCAGGTAAGTGCAGGGCATGCAGGGAGTCTCGGGGAGGGCGAAAAACGGGCCTACCAGAAGTTCAGGAAGAGAGAGCCTCCGGAGCCTGGGGAGGCCATTTTCGCCCTCCCAGAGGCTCAAGAAAAGCTTCCGGAACCCGGGGAGGGCAAAAACATCACCACCCCCAGCCGTGGTGCAGGAAGCCAACTAGGCCACGCCCACCATGGCCACGCCCACCCAGCAACCAGGCAGAGAACCCCTTGTTAAAAATTTTGAAGCCCACCCCTGGACTCAAGCCAATTAAGGGAAGCCATACACTAAAGAGAAGAGAAAATGTGGTGATCTCAGTCTCAGTGTAAGGGAAATGGAGAGAAGGTGGGAACTGAAATTGATCTTTTACCAGTGACTCTTCCAAAGTCTGGATCTAAAGAACAGATCCTGAGCTGAACGGAGACCTCTATCTTCAATCAGAATACAATGAACCAGCCTCTTTGTTCGGAGACTTTCAAAAACATGCCTCTTCAAGCTGAGAAAACAGAATCTTGTCTTACCCGCTGTGCCCTAGGGATAACTGGCAACCCTTCAAAGACATATCTATCTTAAGCAAGCTCTGCTAACCTCCTTCCTCTTCCCTGATGGCAATCATGTTTTTCTCAGGATTGACGCAAAAGATTTTTTTTTAATGTGGCTGCGTAGGGTGTGTGCTTCACCCAAGCTAACTTCTGTTGGTACACACAGACTAGAGAGTAATCTGAATCAGTGGTGAAATGTAAAATTTGTTACTACCGGTTCTGTGGGCGTGGCTTTGTGGAGGGTGTAATGTGACTGGGTGGGCGTGGCCAACTTTTTTTTTCTTTTAAAAGCATTTTTTTTATAACCTCTTCGGCCAAAGAAGTTGTTAAAAAATGCTTTTAAAAGCCTCTGACGATCCCAGCTGAGTTGCCTGATTGGCAGAGGCTTTTTTTTCTTTTAAAAGCATTTTTTTATAACCTCTTCGGCCAAAGAAGTTGTTAAAAAATGCTTTTAAAAGCCTCTGACGATCCCAGCTGAGTTGCCTGATTGGCAGAGGCTTTTTTTTCTTTTAAAAACATTTTTTCTACAACCTCTTCAGCCGAAGAGGTTGTAAAAAAAATGCCTCTGACTATCCCAGCTGAGTTGCCTGATCGTCAGAGGCTATTTTTTTTCTTTTAAAAACATTTAAAAACATTTAAAAACATTTTTCAGCCGAAGAGGTTGTAAAAAAAATGCCTTTAAATGCCTCTGACTATCCCAGCTGAGTTGCCTGATCGGCAGAGGCTTTTTTTTAAAAAAAAACATTTTTAAACATTTAAAAACATTTTTCAGCTGAAGAGGTTGTAAAAAAAATGCTTTTAAAAGCCTCTGAGATCCCAGCTGAGTTGCCTGATCGTCAGAGGCTTTTTTTTTCTTTTAAAAACATTTTAACCTTACTGGAGCTGAATAAACCTGTTAACGTGCTGCCAGTGTCCTATGCCCTTTACCTTCACCCACGACTCAACACAGTGGGCCCTCTTTTGCAAGCTTTTTAAAATGTCCTTGTAGATCGAGGGGGAAATCTATCCATCAAGGAGAACAAGGACAGTAATAGCTGGCATGACGGTCCAAGGAGAAGGCATGGTTTAGCCCAGATTTTTAAATATTTTCATAGGTTTAGAAAAGGAACTTTGTGCTTTGATTTTTAAAAAAGCAATTTTAGGCTTTTATTATTTTCTTGGAAGAAAACTAAAAATTCATTCCTTCAAGTTGGAATTGCTGGATTTACTTCGAATAGTAATTCTATTCAAGAATAGTTGGATGAAAGCAGTGGTGAAATTCAGCTGGTTCTATCTGGCTCAGGCGAACTGGTAGCACCGGCAGCAGGAAGCTTCACCCACCCACCCGGATGTCATCACGTCCCATTTTTTATCCTCTGTGCATGGGTGGAGGAGGCGTGCACATGCTCATATTTGCAAACTGGTAGTGAAGGTAAGTGGATTTCACCCCAGATGAAAGCAAGTTTGTACTAGCATCTGAGTTTAAAGGTGGTCTACCTCTGGCATCAATTGATTTGCTTTTCTTGGTGTGTGAGAGCTGTGCTTTGCCTTCTATTTTCGAATATTATGGACTAGCCAAGAGAATAGATAATTACATGGGGCATCATGACAGGAGCATGACTCTTAATATTAATAGAACATAGATATCCTCAAGTATGGTCAAAAAATGAAAATGGCACCAATATAAGAACAATTGAATCTCTCTCCATTTTGAGGATCACATCATCTTGATTTTTTTTTTAAATCATACTCTAGATGTCCTTTTTTTGAATATCAAATCCCGACAGAACACATCCAAAAGGACAAAAAAAAGGGTAGAAATAAATGTGCATTTTATTATCAACTCAAAAGGAGAAATCCCATTTTACATATGAGCAGGTAGCATAATTTCATACGTAAGGAAATTCCACATTTAAAAAGAAAAAAAAATCACACATTTCTATCAAAGTGGCCTGTGGCAAACTCAAATAAATAGTTTATGATAAGAAAAAGTACAGACAGAAAAGCAGGCGAAAATAATTACAATCCACTTGTTAAATCGGTAGCTTTTTTAAACAGGAGATGTCATCCATTTCTCCAGGTACTCCCTCCCTAAACATTCTCTGTCTCATAGAAATAAGCATGTTTTTGCTTCAGAATTATCTTCTAAAGCACTCGTTTTAAGCAGAATCAACCCTATAAAAATATATTCTAGAATCTTCTGTAGTGAAGGAATGGCTGCCAAGTTGTACTCACTTCAACAGAGTTTATGCAAAAAATCCTGCGGCTCAACACATGTTTAAGTTTGTTTTGTTAATAAGCATTAATAACGCTTATTTGTTTTGTTAATTCAGTAAGAAGCGCGAGCAGGCAAATCTCATTGCAAACATGGGAGGACAGGGGGTCTCTGGCCATTTCCCTTTTGAGCCACAGGATCAATGAAAATCTTTCTCCTCACCCATTTGATTATAGAAAATAAAACCACTTGCATTAGTGACAGTCCCTAAGCCAACCAAAAATGAAGAAAGATGCAGAGTGCATTTTGAGGGGAGGGAGGGGGAACATAGGTAAACAAGAGCTTCCTCACTTCCCAAATGTAGAGTTTGCCATCCTGAAGATGATAAAGGGATTATCTTGTGAGATAAAGGACCTTAGGTGACAACTGGAAGGCAAATGTTGGGGTTCGAGCAGAAGGTTTTCTAGAATCGGGTCCTTGTGATCTGTTTGAATGATGTGCAGCCAACCCTTATTCTGATTTAGATGTTTCTTCTTCGACCGCCTTCAAATTGGGTGGAGGATTGCTTGGGTTCAAGAAGTCAGGTTCCTTAACAGTAAGTTCTCCAGTGTTATTGCTGTCTATTAAGGAGGTCATTAAACAGTTCTGGTATTGCTCCTGTGTGATCTGGATTAGGAAGAGAAAGCAACTATTCAGTAACTTACCACCGGCCAATTGAAGGCATGGATAATAATAATAATAATAATAATAATAATAATAATAATAACAACAACAACAACTTGTCATTGTACGTATATACACAGTATACTCATACAACAAAATTCACATAACACCCAGAGACCAAGCCCAACACACATGACAATCCCCAGACATACCCCCACCCACCAAAAATTCCCCATCCCTCAACCACCCAAGCATCCACACAGCAGACCAAGTAATGCTGTCCAACCACTCACTGATGATGGCCTTTTAGTTCATTGTTGAGTGCAATTATAGCTCTGGGATAAAAACTATTCAGAAGACGTGTGGTCCGAGTTTTAATTGTTTTGTATCTTCTGCCAGAAGGCAACAGTCCAAAAAGGTGGTAAACAGGATGGGAAGAGTCTCTGAGAATGTTATGCAACTTCCTCAAACAGTGAGATGCGAAGATGTCATCCAGGGATGGTAGCTGGAGCCCAATGATATTCTGGGCAGTTTTAATGATTCTCTGTAGAGCTTTCTTGTCCGCTACAGAGCTGCTCCCATACCATGCAAGAATGCCGTATGTCAGGACAATCTTAATGGTGCTGCGAAAGTAGGACAGAAGTAGATGCTGAGATAGATTTATCTTCCTGAGCATTCTCAGGAAGTGCAGTCTCTTCTGTGCCTTCTTCGCAAGCATATTAGCATTCATAGTCCATGAGAGGTCCTCCGAGATATAAATGCCCAGAAATTTAAAACTACCAACCCTCTCCACCTCCTCACCATTTATGTACAATGGTAATAATTTGGGGAAAGGTGCTCCAGAGGTTTCTCCCAGCTATTTTGTGGAGGAACCAGCCAGACATGTATTAAGCAGGCCAAAAACCAGAGAGGATCAGAAAGTAGTGACCTAAACCTTTTCTCTAGTTGAGAAGAGGCTTGGAGGCAAATGGACCAAGCAGAAACCAAGGAGATTGACTGGGTTGGCTTATCATGATTAATTTAGCTATGGTTTGTGGAATAGTAATAGCACTTAGACTTATATACCACTTTACAGTGCTTTACAGCCTTCTCTAAGCGGTTTACAGAGTCAGCATATTGCCCCCAATAATTTGGACTTCTCATTTCACTCACCTCGGAAGGATGGAAGGCTGAGTCAATCTTGAGCCTGGTGAGATTTGAACTGCCAAACTGCTGGCAGCCGGCAGTCAGCAGAAGTAGCCTGCAGTACTGCACTCTAACCACTGCGCCACTGTGGCTCATAATAAAGAATAAAGATTCAGCTTGAGTCACACATCAGACGAAGCCCAAACTAAATCAATAACATGCTCCATGTGATACGAGTGTAACCACTAAGCCACATATAGACTGGAAAGGTAGACCGTACAGCAAAGCTGCCATACCAAACTGGACAAATAGATGGCCAGATTTCTAGAGTTATGGAACCATCTCTAGAGTTATGAAACTTGTACACAAAGGGAGGGCATCGGGTTGAGGAAAGTTTCCTTGTAGATATGTACTAGAACTGGAGATTCAGCCTTCATACAAATCTGCCACCATAATATTTTGCCTGTCCCTAAAGAAGGGAAGAAACTAGCACCGGTAAATCAATTGAATATTAATTATGTTCCTTAGGATTGGATATAAAATAATAATAATAGAATAGGGTAGGATAGGATAGGATAGGATAGGATAGGATAGGATAGGATAGGATAGGATAGGATAGGATAGGATAGGATAGGATAGGATAGATAGATGATAATTATGTTCCTTAGAATTGAATATAAAATATAAATAATAATATAGGATAGGATAGGATATAGGATAGGATAGGATAGGATAGGATAGGATGGATAGGATAGGATAGGATAGGATAGGATAGGATAGGATAGGATAGGATAGGATAATTATGTTCCTTAGAATTGGATAAAAGGCAACCATTGATAGAAGTGAGTAACCATTGGTTCTCCAGATGTTTCTGTTGACACAGTTGAGCAACATCTTCAAGATCTTAATCCAATCTACAATTACTGGGTTATTTACAGCTTAGAATAGACTTCTGAGTCACCCAGAACTGGCTCACCTTGATATACAGGAGGTCACTGAGGGCTCGGACAGTGAAGTCAGCCATATATTGCAGGCTGGTGCTGGGAAGAACCTGGTTGGTGCTGATGCTGCTGATGTAGGCAGAACTCATCTGTTCGTAGCTCTTCCGGCTGATACTGTTCAAACGAGCCACAGAGCTGGTCTCAAGCCCTAGACATTGTAGACAAGAAGACAAGAATGGTACCCTCTGGTTCTCTCCAATTTGTTTAATGTTGTATTCTCCTATCCATCTCTCTAGACTTAGCCTTTTCAACTGGGGCAATTACTGTGTACTAAAGTATGGTTTATTTAAGCTTCCTTCGCTGAAGATGGCATGGTCCCATTCACCAGGTTTATAAACTATAATGACGTTGAAAGTCAGCATCTAGCCCCCTCCTAGAAGAATGAAATATTTTGAGGAATATTAAAAAGGGGCAGAATATTATATTTCCCTAAAGGAGAAATGGAGAAACGTGTTTTTTTAGAGGCAGAAAGCAGCCCCCACTTTCCTTAATAGCCCACAGCAGATGCCAGCACTTAAAGAAATAAAGAGCTTATTAAAAGAGGAAAACGAGTATCTAGATAGCTCTATTCATAGGCAAAGCAAATACTGGAGGCAGAAATCCATTCAAGACAGGATATTTTGAAACTCCCTCCAGCAAAGTCTGAACAAAGGCAGAATGGTAGGATTAGCCCCCACTCAAGATCCAACACAGGACAAAGCCATTAAGCCACAATAGGAATTCCCCAACAGCCTTTCAGAGCAAAAGCCCCTTCATTGCATCATCTCAGAGCAGTCCAAACTTCAATCAAACCTGGGAGCTCAGATAAACACCTAGGATTTTCATTTCCTATTTTGCCTATGAGCCAGCTATGACCCCTACATAACCCCTATACGACCCCATAGGAATCTGACAAAAGCCAATAGAATACACGTTCTTGCACAGGAACAGGAAGCTCAAGTGCAAAACCCAAAAGAAGGTATTAAAAAAAAAACAACCCTCCACTCTCAACTCCATTCTGTCAGCTGCCCAAAACCACAAACCCATGTGGTTCTGCTTCATCAATAAACCATCTTTCCAATCAGCCTCCATGTTTCCAGTGTCTTCCTCACGGCTTGGAACTGAAGCAGATGGATTGCACTGGCTTCCGGTGGTCTTCTGGGTGCGCTTCAAGGTTTTGGTCACCACCTTTAGAGCGCTCCATGGCTTAGGACCTGGTTATTTACGGGACCGCTTACTACCACAAACAGCCTCCCACCGGCCGGTACACTCTCATAGAGAGTGGCTCCTCCAGGTGCCGTCAGCCAAGCAGTGTCGACTGGCGGCCCCCAGGGGGAGGGCCTTCTCTGTGGGGGCACCCACTATCTGGAACGAGCTCCCCCCAGAGATACGGAGGATTCCGGATCTACGCACTTTCCGCCGTGCTCTTAAGACCCTCCTATTCCAGCAAGCTGGCCTGACCTAATTTTCTCCCCTTTCTTTTAAATTTTTAAACTGAAATTTTAATTTGTTTTAAATTATGGGGATTTTTAATTGTCTTGGGATAAATTATTTAATTTGGTTTTAATTAAGTTTCTAACTTTTGTATTTATGTATTTTATTTTGTGCCTGTTCACCACCCTGAGTCCTTCAGGAGTAGGGCGGTATATAAATTTAATAAAACATAAAACAAACAAACATATTGCTTCCTACAGCTGAATTCACACAACATATTAAAACAAAAACAGGCCAACCATTTTGGGACTGAGCAGGGTGGTGAATGCAGCCATTGACTAGGTGGTCTCCTCAGGTTTTAAGGAAGGGCTTCTCCAGCTCTGCCATGGGCAAACGCTCTTGAATCACCCGGAGCCACAGAGAGTCGCTTGGAAATGAGATGGGCAGTAAATAAATGTAATAATTAACTAAATCATAGCCTCTTTGAGCAAATACAGGGGCAGCCAGGTTTTCTAGCTACCACAAGTTCCCCCTTTTCCCCTTAGCTATATTTCAAGGTGGCTTTCATGGAGAAGACAAAGTAAAAAGGGCAACACTCTGGTTTTCACTTTGGTTGTTAAAACTCGGTTACAAACCCAGAGGCTGCATTTGCACAACAGATTGACTTTTAAGCTCACAGCTGTTTTTGCAACCATGCTAATTGGTTCAAATTGACAAAATACTTGTTTAAGCTTCATCTGGTTAATTTTGGAGAGGTTTTGCAGGCTGTTTAAGTCCAACCTGCATCTTCTGGTGATGATACTGTAAGAAGCCCCCACCCCACCCCCTGAGGAATGAAATATTTTGGGAAATATTTAAAAAAAGGCAGGATATAATATTTCCCCGAAAGGAGAAACGGGAAAAATCTTAAGGGAGGCAGAAACCAGCCCCACTTTCCCTACCCCAAGGAGAAACTGAGGAGGCCAGCTTTTAGAAATGCAGATTTGGTAATCCATTCAGAAAGACTGGGTCAGTGATGTTTCGGTGATGTTTCAAATTTTTTTACTACTGCTTCTGTGGGTGTGGCTTGGTGGGCGTGGCATGGCTTGGTGGGCGTGGCAGGGGAAAGATACTGTAAAATCTCCATTCCCTCCCCAATCCAGGGGAAGGTTACTGCAAAATTCCCATTTCCTCCCGATCAGCTGGGACTCAGGAGGCAGAGAATAGATGGGGGCGGGCCAGTCAGAGGTGGTATTTACCGGTTGTCCAAATTACTCAAAATTTCCGCTACTGGATCTCCAGAACTCGTCAGAACCTGCTGAAACCCACCTCTGGACAGGGTCAAGAAAGAAACTCAGATAAGCAACAAACAAGAGGTTGACAAAATTAGCTCAGACCTAGGATTTGCATTTCCTCTTTTGCCCATAGAGCCAGCTATGACCCCTACATGACCCCTATAGGAATCCAGAAGGTATAAAACCCCACCCACTCTAAACTCCATTTTGTCAGCTGCACCAGAACCACAAACCCTGGTTGTTCTGTTCACCAATAAACCTTTCTTTCCAATCAGCCTCCAGCATCCATGTTGTTTCCAGCGCCTTTCTCCCAGCTTGGAACTGAACCAGATGGATTTTTCTTCCAACAATTCAATGCATTGTGCAAACATGAGTTAATTTAGCACAGTGATGGCTAACCTTTTTACCGTCACATGCCAAAAGCGGGGGGAGTGCGAGGGATCACTCGCGTGCGTGCCCACACTCATAATTCAATGCACCACAGGCTACAGAGGCTTTCTTGGAGCCTCGGGAGAGCGAAAACGGCCTTCCCCGTTCCCCTGGAGGCCAGAAATGGCCCGTTTCCCAACTTCCGGTAGGCCCGGAAGGCCCAAAAATCAGCTGGCCGGCACACGCATGCATGCTGGAGCTGAGCTAGGGCAACGCTCGCATGCCCACAGATATGGCTCTGCGTGCCACCTGTGGTACACGTGCCATAGGTTCGCCATCACGGACCTAGCATAAGAGGGTTGTGAAAACTGCCTTTGCCTAGCTCTTTTCCAGAAAAGATTGGACAGCCATTTGTCCGAGATGAAATAAGATCTCCTGTCTTAGGCAGGAGGTTAGACTAGAACAAATAGACCACTGGTGGTCCATGAGAAAATTTTGGTGGTCCGCAGAAAAATTAGTTGCATTTTTTTAATATTGCACTAAATCAGGGTCCTCAAACTATGGCCCCTGGGCCAGATAAGTACAATGAACATTTGTGTTGCTGCAGAGAGCCTCCCCGTTCAGGGTCTTTTTGTGTGGTTCGAAGGGGGGCAGAAATTCCGACTTGGGGTCTGCTTCAGCCTCCTGGTGCAGGGCTTTGGGCAAAGGCTGGAGGAAAGTGCCGCTGGTGGCAAGGAGCCAGAGAGCCACGTTCCAGTGGGACTGCATCATGCCTGGAACTGATCATCTCAGCCCGCTGAGCCTCCAGGCACCGGTACCTGGCCTTGCACTGCCGCAGGTCTTCCCTCTGCTTGGAAAGCCTATGCTCATAGTCCTCACTGAGATGCTTCTGCTGAGCCTCCCTCTTGGTCAGATCCAAGTTGAATTGAGCCAGCTGTTTTGCCAACTGTTTCTCATGGTGGCTGCTTAGCTCCAACAACTGCTTCCTGTTGGGGCCCTAAGGAGCCTGGGCGGGCAGGGGAGGAGTGGATGGCAGGAGAGGGGTGAGCAGAGGCCAGTGAGGCGCCCCTCGATGTAAGTGACATTGAGTTGGCCATCAAGTTGGCCATGCTCACCCAGTCACATGACCACCTAGCCACGCCCACCCAGTCAATCATTAGGCAGATCACATTAGTGGTCCGTGGGATTTAAAATTATGAATTTAGTGGTCCCTGTGGTCCGAAAGGTTGGGGACCCCTGGACTAGAAGACCTCCAAAGCTTCCAGCCCTATGATTGTTATTCCCCTTTTAAAGGCAGAGGATTAATATGTAAACGGTGCTACGATTCAAACCAGAAGAGGGCGCTAGATAGCATTAGATTTACTAGTGTCAGTGATCAGGCAGCAAAAAATCTTAAATTACATCAAAGATATGATATGATACCGATAGACTCTTAGGCCAAGGGGAGCAATTAAACCTTATAACTTGGATGAAGCTTCAAATCTCATGCTATAAAGATTTTTTTTTAAAAAAAATACAAATTCAACTGTAGTTCCTACCATATGTTAGGTTTATTCTGCCTTGGGCCCAGAAACAGAGAAAGCCCATACAGTACAGAGAGTTCTCAACTTATAACCACAATTGGGACCAGAACTTCTGTTGTTAAGCAAGGCAGTTGTTAAGTGAGCCGTGCCCCAGTTTACAACTTTTGTCCACAGTTGTTAAGTGAATCATGCAGTTGTTAAACAAATGTGAGTTCCCCTGTTGCTGAGAAGGTTACAAAGGGTGATCCCACGACTCTGGAATGCTGCAACCATTATAAATACATGGTGGTGGCCAAGCATCTTAGTGCTGATCTTATGACTGTGGGGAAACTGTGACAGTCATATGTGCGAGGACCGGTTGTAAGTCACATTTTTCAGAGCCCGTTGTAACTTTGAGCAGTTGCTAAACGAATGGTTGTAAGTTGAGGACTACCTATATGCTACCATGGTTGCTTAGTAAAATAGGACAGGGAAAAGAGAAAGAATAGAAAAATAGAATGAACTGGAGAGGGGGGGAGAGAGGGGGAGGGAGGGAGGGAGAGAGGAGGGGGAGAACATTCTACAGCGGATTTTTCTACCGGTTTTGAAAGTCCTGCATTCCTGAGAGCTGAGCCTGTTTCTTTCTTGCTCAGCTGCTTCTGTATTGGAATCTCTTAGTAACAACCACAGGGAGAATAGTGGTCGCAATTTATGGGCAGTCCCTTTCTCCATTTACAGAAGCTCCTGCCTCCCCAACTTCTCAGCACCAGGGCTTCTACTATCCCAGCAGGACTTCAAGGAGAAAAGGGTCTGGATGACTTTGTAGCTCCCCCTTATGGGAATTGCTTGGAATTTCTGTACAGGATCAAATAAAAAGACATGGAATGGGAATATGTATAAGACGTTTTATTTCCCTTTTCTGGGGAATGATGGAGTTTTTCCAAGACTTGCAGTACTGGGGATAAATTCAATCTATTTGTCTGTCTGTCTATCATCTCTCTCTCTCTCTCTCTTTCTCTCTCATCTGTCTATCTGTCTGTCTATCTATCTATCTATCTATCTATCTATCTATCTATCTATCCAGTGGTGGGATTCAAATAATTTAACAACCGGTTCTCTGCCCCAATGATTTCTTCCAACAACCAGTTCACCAAACTGCTCAGAAAATTAACAACCGGTTCTCCCGAAGTGGTGCGAACTGGCTGAATCCCACCACTGTATCTATCTATCTATCCATCCATCTATCTATCTATCTATCTATCTATCTATCTATCTATCTATCATCTACCTACCTACCTACCTACCTACCTACCTACCTACTTACCTATCATCTATCAATCTCCATCCATTCATATTCTGGGTTTCTATGGCACTAGAAATCAAATAGATTGTATATTATCTTCCACCTTTTTTTAATTTTTCAGAAACAGACAACACAATGAAAGAAAAAGGCTGCAGGAAGGAGAAGAAGGCAGAAGAATTGGAGGAACATGGGAGGGGTGTCTCTATCAGGCACTTTGCTTGAAAAAAATCCAAATAATAGTGAACTCCCCCCTCCCCATCTTCCTGGGAACCCAGGATTACTGTAAGTTTACTGTAAGCTTGAAAGAGCCCAGCTGCCTCTTCATCCTCTTCCTTCTAGTTGAGAGAGAATTTGCCTTAAAAATAACTAGAAGAAAGGATTTCTACAACTTTCTCAGAGGTAGAACACCGTATTCTTACACGTTTCTTAGTTGCAGAATAGCTAAAAGGTAGGATGGGGGAGACATGAAATCTAAAATAGGATAAAGTTTGAGAGAGAAAGTTTGGTCTAGTGAGAAAAGAGCCAGTTTGGTCTTATAGTTAAGATACCAAGCTAGAAAACTGAAGATTGCGAGTTGAAGCCCATAAGCCTTAAAGTTGCCAGGGTGGGACACATCTGCATTAGGCAAAGCACACACAGATGAGCAGAGACGCAGTGCGGGAAATTACCTGCTGGGATAGATGGCCCAAGAGCCATGAACCCATAGTAGGAGAAGGGTCCATTCTCAAACTTCATGTTTTCTTTACACGCTTCTACCTCCACCTTCCCCTGGAACAGAGAGAAGGTTATAGTTAACCGCTTAACACCAAAAAAACTAAAGAACTTATAATTGACTTCAGGAGGAAGAGAGATGTACATTTACCATTGTACATAAATGGTGAGGAGGTGGAGAGGGTTGGTAGTTTTAAATTTCTGGGCATTTATATCTCGGAGGACCTCTCATGGATTATGAATGTTAACATGCTTGCAAAGAAGGCACAGAAGAGGCTGTACTTCCTGAGAATGCTCAGGAAGATAAATCTATCTCAGCATCTACTTCTGTCCTACTATCGCAGCACCATTGAGAGTGTCCTGACATACGGCATTCTTGCATAATATGGGAGCAGCTCTGCAGCGGACAAAAAAACTCTACAGAGAATTATTAAAACTGCCCAGAATATCATCGGGCTCCAGCTACCAGCCCTGGATGACATCTTCGCATCTCGCTGTTTGAGAAAGTTGCATAACATTCTCAGAGACTCTTCCCATGCTGCTTACAATCTTTTTGGACTGTTGCCTTCTGGCAGAAGATACAGAACCATTAAAACTCGGACCACAAGTTTTCTGAATAGTTTTTATCCCAGAGTTATAATTGCACTCAGCAATGAACTAAAGGGCCACCATCAGTGAGCTGTTGGACAGCATTACTTGGTCTGTTGTGTGGATGCTTGGGTGGTTGAGGGGTGGGGAATTTGTTGTGGGTGGGGGTATGTTTGGGGATTGTTATGTGTGTTGGACCTGGTCTTTGGGTGTTAAGTGAATTTCGTTGTATGGGTATACTGTGTATACACGTACAATGACAATAAAGTTATTATCATTATTATTATTATTATAGTTGGAAAACTCCATGTCCTGGTGGTGAAGAATTGAACTGGGCTTTACCTGAGATGTCACAGCACTTTACCTGAACCGTGCAGGTCCGTGGTGAAATTCTCCAAGTTTTGCCACTGGTTCACTGTGCGTGCATGCGTGGTGCGTGCCAAACATGCACTCCATGCATGCATGCACAAGCGCAGTGTGTGCCAAACATGCACTTTGCATGCATGCGCAGTGCACACCAAACGCAGGCTGTGCTTGCATGCACAATACACACCAAACGCACGCATCACGTGTAAGCGCACCGCAGGCGCTACTGTGCAGGACAGAAAAAGGGGGCTTAAGAAGGTAGTAGAACAGCGTAGGGGGGAACTGCTGTGCTGCACGATTTAGATTCGCTAGAAAGCAGGATTTCCTGCTTTCTAGCGAATATAAATCGTGCGGCACAGCTGATCATCAGAAATACCGGTTCAGATGAACTGGTAGCATTTCTTTACTACCGGTTCGCTTGAACCAGTAGCTTTTATTACTACCGGTTTGCCAGATCTAGTGTGAACCAGTAGCATTTCGCCACTGGTGCAGCTGGGGCTCCTTGTATTAATGGGAAAAGGCCCATTCCTGGGGCTGAAGGGAGAAGAGAAGACTGCATAATACCTGCAAGATGAGGATGAAGTAATCTGCCATCTTATTACGTTGGTACAAGTAATGGTGGGGAGATTCCTTGAAGTTCTCATCAAATTTCAGCTCACAAATGACATCACGGTGCTTCAGCAAACGCAAGAGGTATTTTTCAGAGATGAGGCTGGGGCAAAATTGCAGGATCTCTGCATGATGGGAAAGGGGCAGAGGCATGAGTGTCCCCAAGGGTATTTCCCCAAAATTAAAGTCACAGGGCATAAATATTCCTCCAAAGCTGTACTAGACAGTAATAGTAGCAGAGTTGGTCATCTAATCCAACCCCCTGTTCTCGCAGGAGTCCTATGCAGTGGTGAAATTCATCCGGTTCTATCCGGCTTGGGCGAACCGGTAGCACCAGCGGTGGGAGGCTCCACCCACCCACACAGACATCATCATGTCTCGTTTTTGACCTTCTGCGCATGCACAAAAGGCTCTGCACATGTGAGGAGGAGGCGCGTACGGTCACACTTGCAAACCAGTAGCAAAGTTAAGTGAATTTCACCCCTAAAGTTAAGTGAATTTCACCCCCCACCCCCTATTTCTGATTGATGGCTATCCAGTCTCTTCTTAAAAAACCTCCAGTGTTGAAATAAAACACTTGATTTCAGTTGCTGAAATAATAAAGTTTTCCTGCCAGTTCAGATAGCAATAGCACTTAGACTTATATACCACCTCATAGTCCTTTTACAGCCTTCTCTAAGTCAGCATATTGCCCCCAACAACAATCTGGGCCCTCATTTTACTGACCTCAGAAGGATGGAAGGCTGAATCAACCTTAAGCCGGTGAGACCCGAACTGCCAAACTGCTGGCAGCCAGCAATCAGTAGAAGTAGCCTGCAGTACTGCATTCTAACCACTGCACCACCACAGCTAGAGGTAGTCCTCAATTTATCACCACAATTGGGATCGGAATTCTTTATGCTAAAGAAGATGGTTGTTAAAAAAGTCATGTCCTATTTTACCAACTTGTTTGCTAGGGTGGTTAAGTGAATCACCGCCGTTATTATCTGAATCACATGATTATAAAGCAAATCCAGCTTCCCCTATTAACTTTGTTTGTCAGAAGCCTCCAGGAAGGTCGCAAATGATAATAATCACATGACCCTGGGATAGGCAATCATCATAAACACATGCCGGTTACCAAGCGTCTAAATTTCGATCATGTGTCCGTGGAGATGCTATGACAGTTGTAAGTCCAAGGACCGGTCATAAGTCACTTTTTTCAGTCCCGTTGTGACTTAGACAAGTGGTTGTAAGTTGAGGACTACCTGTTCAGTGCCAAGCATTGCCTCTGTTCCATTTGTGCTGTTGCTTGAAACAGATCCCTTTTGCCAAGTAGGGCCAGCCCTGTGATGAGTTGCTGTTGCCAGAGGACCAGAGGTGGTATTCAGCCGGTTCTGATCGGTTCTGGAGAACCGGTAGGGGAAATTTTGAGTAGTTCAGAGAACCGGTAAATACCACCTCTGACTGGCCCTGCTCTCATCTATTCTCTGCCTCCGGAGTCCCAGCTGATCGAGTCCCAGCTGATCGGCTGGGTCTTCTTTTGTTGCCCTGCACACAGAGCTGGAAAGCAGGTTAGTGGGGTGGGGAGGGAATGGAGATTTTACAGTATCCTTCCCTTCGCCTGGATGGGGTGAGATGGAAATGGAGATTTTACAGTATCCTTCCCCCTGGAGTGGGGTGGAAACAGGAGTGAAATGCTCCCTGATCGGACCGGATCGCCTGATCCGGTAACGATCTCGGCCGGTGGTTCAGCGATCTGGTAGAGATGGTGGGGCGAAGCTCCGCCCACTTGCCCACCCGGGTGCCATTACTTCCTGGTTTTAACCAGGAAGTAATGTGTTCTTTACCTTCTGCACATATGCAGAAGGTTGGCATGTGCATGTGACGCGCACACGGTGCATGTGCTTCCGAACCAGTAAGGAAGGTAAGTAGATTTCACCCCCGGGTGGAAATGGAGATTTTGCAGCATCCTTCCCCTGCCACGCCCACTAAGCCATGCCGACCAAGCCACACCCACAGAACCGGTAGTAAAAAATGTTGAATCCCACCACTGCAGAGGAGTCTGTTATGAACTCCTGTGTAATGGAATGGGCACCTGGAGAAGCAGCGGGGGTAGCAACCCAGAGCTTTCCCAGAGAGAGGCCCAGGTTAAGAGACTGCCCCATCCTGAGCTGAATGGGAGATGGTGGAAGAGATTCAGAGTAACCACACCCTAGAACAGAGGTGGACAATTTATTTTCCCAAGTGGGAGGTCATATGAGAAACTGTTACGGAGGACCAAACCAATAGGACCAACGTGTTACTGTCAAGCTGCATAGGCACACATGCATGCAGACATGTATCTTTTGTACTTCTTTCTCTGAGTCTACTTCTTCCGATTTCTCTTCCTCCTGACTTCTAGTTTCTAGTTCTTCCTTGCTCCCTTGGTCATCCCCCTGCATGAAATGGTGTTCATAAAATTCATTTGCTTTCTCCAGTGTATCAATCCTATACTTTTTTTCCTGCCATGTCACAAGTAGACCCTCAGGTATCAGCCATCGATACAATACTTTATATTTGATTAATTGAGTTGTTAAGAATTGATAGTGGCGTCTTTGATCTCTTATTCTTCTTGGTACTTGTTTCAATACTATGATTTCTTTGCCTCTATACGTTAACGTTTCTTCTCTTGCCCTTTTATATTCTTCATCTCTTAGTGACCATTTTGTGAATTTAACGTGTACCTCCCTCACTAACCTATGCCTTCATGAGTAATTTGTATATACTTGATAGCATTCATCAATGTCTCATCTTATTTCCCGTTTACCTTTTTCTAATATCCCTGCCACAATTTCTATCATTTTGTCTCCTAAGTCCTCTTCTTTCTCTTCAACAATATTTTGAAATCTAAGGAAATAAGAGGCTTTCTCCATTTCCAAAAATGCAATCGATTCGGCCAGTTCTCTATTTGTTTGCATCGATTTCTGTTCCCATATTTCCATTTGGTTATCAATCTGGTCAATTTTTGTTTCCACTTTTTGAATTCTTTGTTCATTTTCTACCATTGTTTGTTGCATTTTCCCTATCTTATCATTCATGTTTTTTTATCTCACTTTTCATTTCCCCAATTTCATCTTTAATTTCTTTGTGGTGTACTCTCATTTCCTGGTGGTTATCTGCTATGGCCTCTTCATCATTGTTTCCTGTATTAATTGTAGTGCTACCTTGCATGCAGATATGTAAATTGGGGAGAAAATACAGTCACTTTCAAAGTAAAAGCAATGCAGTTGCATTGTGTGAATGGCATACACCGATTTACTTTTGATTTCTAGCGTCTGATTGATCTCACACAGGCCAGGCAAGGACATTCAAAGCAGGGGTGAAATCTAAAAATTTTCCCTACCGGTTCTGTGGGCATGGCTTAATTGGTGGGTGTGGCTTGGTGGTCAGGTGACCTGGTGGGCATGGCTTGGTGGTCAAGTGACTGGGTGGGCATAGCTAATAATAATAAATAATAAAAATAATAAAGTACACAAAACAATAAGAGGTATCAAAAACCAACTTTTACACTTTACACACACACAACACAACACAGCACAACACAACTGACTCACACACAATGTAAAAGCAGCTGCCCTTGACCCAAATTGGCCCCTGCAACAAGCAGGAACCTCACACAGCCACAAAAAGCTCAAAAACCAACTTTCACACTTTTTCCACACAAAATGCCACATACAGCTTTTTGAGATTTTGTATGTTTGTATAGTTAGAGTGAAACACTATAGAAACACACCAAATCTCAGAAAACTGCACAAATATTTTATTTTATTATTTTATTCTATTTTATTTATATTTTTAGATAAAAGCAGCTAAATTTAAAACTTCCTTAACTTTAGAATGCTATGTCTAAAAAAAAATAGAACTCCTAAAAAAATTAACTTTTTTTTTAAAGCTCCCCAAAATAAAAAACTTACCAAATTGAAGACACAAGGCAGGCAGGCAGATTGAGTTGCTCACCGATTGGATTGATTGCAGGCAGGCAGATTGAGTTGCTAACTGATGCAATGGATTGCAGCAGCGAAGCAGGGCAGGAAAAGCGAGCGAGCCGGAAAGAAGCAGCAAGCTGCCAAGTGGGCAAGTTGGGACCGGGTGATTGGGTGGGCATCGGGGGGGCAGGGATTTTTGCTACCGGTTCTCCGAACTACCTGCCGCCATTGCTACCGGATCGCCTGATCTGGTCTGAACCGGGAGCATTTCACCCCTGATTCAAAGGATCGGATGTGGCCCTGGAGTCGTAAAATCAGTGGTGGAATTCAATTTTTTTACTACTAGTTCTGTGGGCGTGGCTTGGTGGGCATGGCTTGGTGGGCATAGCAGGGGAAGGATACTGAAAAATCTCCATTCCCACCCCACTCCAGGGGAAGGATACTGCAAAATCCCCATTCCCACTCCACTCTGGGGCCAGCCAGAGGTGGTATTTGCTGGTTCTCCGAACTACTCAAAATTTCTGCTACCGATTCTCCAGAACCTGTCAGAACCTGCTGAATAGCACCCCTGTGTAAGTTCTGAGGATACATCAAGTAGGTAAGAAGGTTATAACTTTAGTTTGGCAAGATTCTGTCCATCTAGGTTAAGCAAATAGAGGGTTGGACTTGATTGGGTTTGGTGTGTCAGCTTTGGGCTTGTGCCTGACATCCTACCTGTGGAGAGGAAGCGATGGGCAGCCAAGAGTAGCTGCTTGGAGATCTTTGTTTCGACTTCATAATCCCTGAAAGCAGAGAAATCCCACTTCCTTAGCCCAGTGACTTTTCTTTTAGATCGATTGTCAACTGCAAAGGTGAAAAGCAAAGAAAAGGTCACCTACACATTCATGCTGGACAGCCATACTAGCCACTCCCTCTGTTTCACTGAGCACTGCCAGGATGGACGTTGTCAGGGAGATGGACTTGAAGTGGAGAAAATCGGATTCAAATCTCCACTCAATCGTGGGTGACTTTGGGCCAGCTACTCTCTCAGCCTAATCCACAAGCTTTAAATCCCATCAAGTCAAATCTTTATTACAGTCATAGACCAGTATAAGAACTGAGGTGACGCAGTGGTTAGAGTGCAGTACTGCAGGCTGCTTCTGCTGACTGCCGGCTGCCAACAGTTTGGCAGTTCAAATCTCACCAGGCTCAAGGTTGATTCAGCCTTCCATCCTTCCGAGGTGGGTAAAATGAGGACCCAGATTGTTGGGGGGCAATAGGCTGACTCTGTAAACCTCTTAGAGAGGACTATAAAAGCACCGTGAAGCAGTATATAAGTGCTATTGCTATTGCTATAAAGGGGCGGAAGGGGTGTAGAGGATACATCACAGAAAAAAATATTTTAAAAATTATAAAAAGCGAGAAGATATAAAAGATATAGGAATTAAAAAGAGAAAGCATATGTCCAAACAAGAATCTAAAAGAAAAAGTAAGATATAAATGCACTAAAATAGGAAATACAGGGAACTGCATTCCACAGTCACAAATATTATTTATATAGAGTGTCCTGATGTGAACCCAGGAGCATATGGAAAGGAATGAGAGTTATTTCCAGATGATAAAGCTTCATGTGGACAGGAGGAGAAACCCAGATATTTTCCACCCCTTTGCATTTTATGCCCATTCTTGATAGTGTTCAATTTCAAGCAGTTCCAGCTAGACTGGAATGAGGTGTTAAGAGAGGGCCTAGTTTAGAATCCTTGTGGTGCAAAAAGCAGCAGAAGTCTGGCCATTCCCAAGGGAATGCAGTTAGTCTGGCAAGATTCTTGTAACATAGGTGCCTAGCAATAAAAGCTTCTATTCACAAGTGGTTCTGGTTGCTTGCTCCTGGCAGTTCTCTTCCCTCAGTTTTGCTTAATTTTGCATCTTTTTCCTTCATTGTGCCTTCTGAAGTGGCACAGATACGGTCTATATTACATAAAGAAACTACCGTATTTTTCGGAGTATAAGACACACCTACCTTTTTTGGTGAGGAAAAGAAGAAAAAGAAATCTCCCCCTGCCTCTAAGCAATTTTGCCTGGTTGCAGCAAACAGCAAACAGCCTGCTTTACTTTCGTTTTCGTTTTCAGCATAACTTGATTAGCACAAGGAAAAAAAAAATCTGCTCCAGCAATTTACCTCTTTGCAGCAAGCAGCAGAGCCCTGTGCAAAACAGCTGAGAGCAAATCAGCTGAGAGTCGGGAGGCCGAGCCAATCAACTTGTACTAATTAGGCTGTGCTGAAGCCTAATTAGGAGCTGTTTTTTCTTGCTGTTTGCTTGCAAGGAGGTAACTGCTGGGAGGCAGAGGCCAAAGGGGGGGAGGCAGCGGGTGGGCGGGACTACATTCGGTGTATAAGACACACCTAAGTTTTCACCCCCTTTTAGAGGGAGGAAAGGTGCGTCTTATACTCCGAAAAATATGGTATTTCCTACAGCAGCTTCATTTAAAGAAGCTGAATCTGGGGTAAGTTTCAACCTTTCTATAACTCCTCACCCTTCAAAAGGAGGTTCAGATGTATAATCATACAGGGTTTCTATCAAACCCAGGGGTGATATTCACTTACTTTCACTACCGGTTCAGAAATGTGAGCGCTCACACGTGCCACCTCCGCGCATGCGCAGCTGCCGCTACCAGTTTGCTTGAACCAGATAGAACCGGCTGAATACCACCACTGATCAAAACCATTTGCAGGAGAGAAACCAGTAGCATCAGAAACAAGAAGGATGTTGTAGGACAGTGATGACTAACCTTTTTGCCATTGCATGCCAGGAGGGGCGGGGAGGGGCGTGTGCATGCCCACACCCATAATTCTATGCGCCCCGCCCCTGTGCATGCGGCCACGACCCTGCCTTCACCCCGCTCCTGGCACACGATGGCCCGGTAGGCCCATTTTTCTTTCTCACTTGGCTCCAGGACCTCTCTAGGAGTCTGGGGAGGGCAAAAACAGCCTTCCCCACCCCCCCGGGCCCTCCGGAGGCAGGAAACAGCCTGTTTCCCTACTTCTGATACGCCCAGAAGACCCAAAAATGTGCACGCCGGAGCTGAGCTTGTGTGCCCACTGATATGGCTACGAGTGCCACCTGTGGCACATGTGCCATAGGTTCACCATCATATAGGATCTTCAAAGACTAATAACGTTTATTATGATGATTACCTGAATCTTTCTGCAATAATAAACACTCTCATCTTTATGGTGCCACAAAATGTGTGACCGTTCATATAGAGTGAGATTCTGTTGTTGTTTCCCTCGCACACATGGGTACAACTATTCTCTACAAATACTTAAGAATAAAACTAACCGTAAATATCCGATTCATCCACAATTTCAGACTTGATGATTTCTTCAATGACATCCTCCAAGGTTACTAAGCCCACCACTTCTAAGACTTGTTCGTGGTTAACCTCATACGTCTTTTGGACAATAGCCAGGTGAGACTTACCTGTTGGACAGATTAAATTATTTTGCTGTGATCAGAGTCACATCAAAATAGTCCTTTAAAAAGAGAATTTGGCTTTGTAAAATCTAGTCAAGGTTATGTCTGACAAATAACCTCTTTCATGTCACTTTGGTTCAGAGCTAGGGGGCGTGAAAGCTCAATGGTTAAAGACGCTGAGCTGGTCAGATGGAAAATGGACAGCCCAGGTTGAAGCTCCAGACATTGCACAACAGGAGGCGCCCCCGTTACTTGCCCCAGCTCCTGCCTACCTAACAGTTCAAAAGCATTCAACTGCGAGTAGATAACTGTGTTCTGTGCACCTCAGCATATAGTCATGCTGGCCACATTAACATGGAAATATCTTTGGACAATGCTGGCTCCCTCGGCTAAGAAACGGAGATGAGCATCATGCCCTGGAATCGGACACGACTGGACAAGGGAAACCTTTAACTTTACCTTTCTGGTTCTGAGCAGGGATGATGCCTATTGCCTTACATATTGCCTTAGAACACTTTATACAAACTCTTGCTTCTTTCTTGAACATAGAAGGCACTTTGGATCGAGATTTTAGACCACGGGTGTCAAACTCAATCACATCACGTACATATTGTGACTTATCGTGACTTTTTTTGCCTTTGCGGAGCTGGAGTAGGCGTGGCCTATGTGTGACACATCTGGCCCGTGGGCTGCCAGCTTGAGTGGCCTGTTTTAGACATATCTCTCTAGTCTTGTTCAATAATTATAGCATCAAAATGATGAAAAAATTCTACTGCAAATATACATTTTACAAAAAAAAAATGCTCCTGTTAATTTATTTTCTTATCAGCTTTTATTACTACATATGTTTTTCTCCTTATTCAAATATAAAACTGAACTATTGGATCTCCAAGCTTTTAGGAGGGGGAGAAGTGTGTTCATGTGAGCAGTAATTGTGCAAACCTCCAGAAAAGTTGATTTCGCTACCTACATGGTGGTACTGTGTTTCCCCAAAAATACAACCTATTCAGAAAGTAAGTCCTAGCTTGATTTTTACATGTGCGCCCAATATTAGCACTCCCCCCCAAAATAAGCCCTAATTAAGACCACATCCACTCCAGGGTGCATAGGTAAAAATTAAGCTAGGGTGGGGATGGGAGGGTGGAGCTGCCCTACTACTTACCTTCAGATAGTTGCAGCCAGGCCTCGCAAACCTCGGCCCATTACTTCTGCAGCCGGCAAGGCTTTCCTGAAGGCCTCTGTAGCCGATAACAGAGCTCTGGATCGATCAGGAGCTGTTGTATTGGCTGCAGAGACCTTCAGGAAAGCTTGCTGGCCTTGCAGGCCGAAGAAGTTCATGAAGGCCTCTCACAACGAAAAGGAGACTGGAGGCGATGCACTCAAGTGAGGTGAGTCAGTCGATGTCATCCCCCCTGAAAATAAGACCTAGTGCCTTTTATTGTGGCAAAAAAATATAAGATAGGATCTTATTTTCAGGGAAACACGGTAGTTGTGTGACTGACCACAACTCCCTTTTTAAAAAGAATGGGAGAGCTGCTTTTGCCTGTCCTAAACATCCCTTGATTGTTCTATTTTTATAAACCATCCTGAAGCCGGCATGAAATCCACTCTGTCATTACCTTTTTTGAATTCTTCGAGCACAGCATCCAGTCTGGTAGTGTTGCTGACATAATGGATTGGGTGGTTGTAAAACTTGGTGATTGTCTTGATTGGGGTGCGATCATCTGGATCGACAAATGCAAGATCTTTGACATACAACATGTCAACAATGTTCGTCTTTTCCTTCGTATAGATTGGGATCCGGGTGTAGCCACTCTGTAGGATCTCAGTCATTGTATCAAAGTCCAGGATGGCATTGCTGCTGATAAGGAAGCAGTCTTTTAATGGGGTCATGACACTTTCCACCATCTTAGACCTCAACTCCAGGGCTCCTTCGATGATATTCAGCTCTTCTTTCATCAAGTCATTATAAGGCTGAGACAATCGAATCATCTCCATCAGCTTCTCTCGGTTGTAGACAGTGCCCATTTCTTTCCCAAGGAGGTAGTCCAAGAGCTTACTGATAGGGTAAGCGGCCGGGAAGGTTATTAACATAACCAACCTTGTGATGAAGACGGTGTTGGCACCTATTGCCAAACCATGACGGGAGCAAGGGCCTGTGGAAGGATCTCCCCAAAGAGGACGATGGAAATAGTAGAGATCACAATAGACCAAGCGTTTTCCCCAATAACTGTGTCCAACAATATGGTGAGAGAAGAATTGACTAAAACATTACCGAGCAGCAAAGAACAGAGCAAATAATTCCCTTTCATTCGGAGGGGTTCGATCTTGGTGGCATATTCCCTCTCCTTGGGCGTGCCACAATTTTTCACAATGCGCAATCCCATAGGGTCAAGAGATATTAGGCCTAGGGAGAGACCACTAAACATCCCCGAGAGCGCCAAGAGGGTAACTACTAAGGTAATTTCAAGCCAGCGGGGTAGCTGCAAACCTTTGTCCTCTATCACTTGGAGGATCAGGTGACTATCCTTGAGCAGCTGGCGTGGTTTCCCACGATGATCCTCAAGGCACATCATGTAGTCCTTGAAGTGGATATTCTTCCTCAGGATCTGGACCTTCACAGAGAGTATGGCAGAAGTATTTTGCACGTCGCCGCTGTACGGCTGTATCAATAAATCACTTGTTCCTTGAGGGCAGACTGAAAAGTCCCTGATGAAAGTACTCAAGGAAGTCATCTCCACAAACCGAATCCTCCGCCAGCTGAATTTGTGGATGCCATTACCATAGATGCGAAGGTAAATCAGGCTTCCTTCCACCACTTGGATTCTGCCGTTTTCCAAAATGGCTGTCTCGGCCTTGCTACTATTCTCCAGCCTCATGCCTATAATTATGGTGTCATTAAGGGATGGTGCTTCCTTCCCAGCACTGGCTTGCCACAGGAAGACGAAAAGAAGCATAAGGACCTTTGGAAGCATCAGTACCAGATCTGTGACCTAATCGCTTTTTTTCTGTCACCCACCAAAACACCTCAACGGATCAAGTCCATGAAGGATTCCCTTTATTTAATGTATCCATGGATTCCCTCCAGTGACTCATTAAACCACGCTCTGAACTGGAGCTGTATATGTCACAAACCTATCTTCTATGCAGACCCGCCCACCTCATTTGCATTCTACATTCTTACCTGGCAACTTTGAATCTCACCACCATCATCAAAGCCTCTTGCAGAAGACTGATTTGCAACTGATTTGAAGGCACCAGAAATCTCTGTGTTCTGAAGGCATGAACCTTGTATTTTACAGAAGGGAACTAGTTTTATGAAAACCAACATAGACCATTTCCCATAAGCTGATGTGTAGTATGTGTTATACTTCCATTGTTCTCCAGTTAATGCCACTCTCATAGAGAAGGTCTTCTGCCTTCTCAATGCCCCTTGAACATTCCTCCTCTTCTTCCTTCCCTTATTTTCCTAGATGGGATATGAGCAGGGGTGGGCTTCAAAAATTTTAGCAAGGTGTTCTCTGCCTGGTTGCTGGGTGGGCGTGGGTGTGGTAGGCGTGGCCTAGTCTGCCTCCTACACCACAGCATGTGGGAGGTGTTTTTGCCCTCCCTGGGCTCCGGAGGCTTTTGTTGAGCCTCCGGGAGGGCAAAAATGGTCTCCCTAGGCTCCGGAGGCCCTCTGGAGGCCGGAAACAGGCCGGTTTCTGCCTTTCCCAAACTTCCAGTAGGCCCTTTTTTCACCCTCCCTGAGCTTCTGTGCATGCCCTGCACTTACCTGCATCTAAAATGGGCTGCGTGGCGACTCCTGGGAGGGAAGGGGTGGGCAGGGCCAGCCAGGAGTGAGATTTGGGGGTTCTCCGAACTGCACAGAATCTTGGCTAGAGATTCTCCTGAACCCCTGCGAACCCCCAGCAGCCCACTCCTGGAGGTCAGCAATGCTCAGCAGTCATTGGCAGGTGTTAGTGGCCCCATACCTTCTTTTTTAAACATACTTCCCAGAAAGCTCTTCAAAGTTTAAACAAATCAATTGTTGTTTTCAATGGTGAAGTGGTGGGCATATGTACATTAAGTATAGCCTGTACTCTCCTCCTAAGTATAAATCTTATCAGCAAGGTTACTCTGCATTGATAGGCCTTGGATTGTGTTGTTAATCAAACAAAAGCTTACAGGAACCCAGGGAGCATTTGTATATTAAGCAAAGCACCTGGACTCACTTTTAGCAGCATCCTGGGGTTGAACTTTGGACACTCGTCCAGGGCAGCAGATGCTCCAGTAGTGAACTGTTATCTTAGAGGGGACCAAGCCATCCACCTGAAGTCCTGAGAGGTGCAAGACAGATGAATGAATCAGTGTTGCACCTTCTGCAAGCAAATCTGTCTAAAGACGCTAGAAAATGGGTCACAAAATTTATTTGAGTCACCTTATATTCGCCATACAAATTCACTATGGCTTTGATTTCACAGAGGGAGAGAAGTACTGCTCCAAAGTATTTCCCCCCCCCTATAGTTATTATTTATTTATTTATTTTTCAAATTTCTATACTGCCCTTCTCCTTTCAGATTCAGGGCGGTGAACAGCCAAAGTAAAACATTTGTACACAAAAGTTAAAATAGATTTAAAATAATTAAAGTTTGGCTCATAATTTAAAACATTTCAATTCAAAACCAATTTCAAATTTTAAAAACCCACCATAAAATCAGGACAGCCCGGCCAACTGAAAAAAAATAGGTTTTAAGGGCCCAACGAAAAGTCCGGAGGTCTGGGATCACTCGTATCTCTGGGGGTAGATTGTTCCAGATTATGTTACTTTCTACAGTGCCAGGTAAATGATAGACTCTTGTTCTGGGAACTGAATGAGAAAATAATACAGTTTTCAAGCTTCAGTACTGTGGATGACAGAAAGTCAGAGAAATGTGGAAAATATGGCAGGTACTCCTCAATTTAGCACCAGGATTGGGACTGGAAATTTAGTTATAAGTCATCACGATTGCATTTTGAGGCATCTCCATGGCCAGACCCATTTTTTTTCAACATTTTTGTGGTGGTCATTAAGCAAACCCTTTTGTCTGAAAATGGGAAAATAATAATGAGACTGCCATTCCCTTCTTTTCAATAGGAAAATTTATTTTGTAATGAAATGGTAACACTGTATTTTTCTTCAGCCTTTAACCACCAATAATTTTTTAGCAGTTCTGTTAGGTGCTTCTTGACTACAGTTTTTCCACTTATTCTGGAGATGCCATCCCAGACATGATGGACCATGGAAATGTTTTTATTTTATTTATTTTTTATTTATTTATTTGTCAAACACGTATAAAATAAAAGATATAAGTATAAACATGATTACGAATACAGGATAAGGATATGAATAAATGGGGACAGTAGGACAGGGACGGTAGGCACGCTGGTGCGCTTATGCACGCCCCTTACAGACCTCTTAGGAATGGGGTGAGGTCAACAGTAGACAGTCTAAGGTTAAAGTTATGGGGATTTGGGGACGTAACCACAGAGTCAGGTAGTGCATTCCAGGCATTGACCACTCTGTTGCTGAAGTCGTATTTTGTGTACTACCCTTAGGTCAGACTGAAAGCGGCGTAGTTCTAAATTGTCTAATCCCAAAATTTCAAGCCTGGTGGCATAAGTATTCTGTTGTGAGCAGAGGAGTGGAGTGCTCTTCTTGTGAAATACTTCTGGACTCGCTCAATTGTATTAATGTCTGATATACAGTGCGGGTTCCAGGCAGATAAGCTGTATTCGAGAATCGGTCTAGTAAAGGTTTTGTATGCCCTAGTTTGCAGAACAATATTTCCAGAGAAGCAGCTTCGCAAGATTAGGTTAACAACTCTTAATGCCTTTATGGCAATGTTGTTAGATCATTTGAGATGAGTATTCCAAGGTCGTTGACAGAATGAGGATCGTCTACGAGGTCATATCCGCCCAGCTTGTATTTGATGTTCTGATTTGGAATGTTTGGAAAATAATTCCCATCATCTCCTGCCTACATGGTCAACAAGATACTGTTGATAATCAGATAATATTATTATCTGATTCATTTGAAAGCCGTCAGGCTAGGCTAGGGAGAGCAATTCTAAAAATAGAACCCTTCACAAAAAGAAAATATGCCGCACTCAATATTTCATGAGTAACTCCAATGACAAGTTTGTGCATTTTCCCTTTCCATTCGACCTGCTAGTTGGGCTTTATGTGATAAGACATCATTGCTCTGCCTTTTGAAATATACTTTAAAATGGAAACCAGTGCGTCTAACTCCTGGGAAGCTATCCTTCTCTGCAATTCTGAGATTTAATTAGCACCTTGTTTATTTGTTTGGCTAGCCATCTCTGGAACGGAATTTTCAACCTGGGTGCAATAAATCATAGACAAGCAGGCAATAAATGTGGATACAGTCACTGGGGGAACCGTCTCGGGAACCGTCTGGCACAAAGCGTTTCACTATATACTGCCATGGTGGTTAAAGACACCGAGCTTGGCAGCTGGAAAGCTGGTTACTAACTTATCAACTGCAATGATTCGCTTAAGAACTGTGGCAAGGAAAGTCGTAAAATGGGGGCAAAGCTCATTTAACAAATGTCTCATTTAACAACAAAAATGTTGGGTTTAATTGTCGTCGTAAGTTGAGGACTACGTGTAAGGTAATTAACACAATTAAATGTTCCCCTTGCCCCCAGCCTCCACCATGCCCCCCCACACACAAACAGCTACGAAATAGGTCTGAGCTGCAAGACTTCAATGAATATTACCAGTAGATGGCAGAAAAATATACTGAAAACCCCTTTTTGCTGCCATCTAGTGGCTATCTGTATTTGTGCAGACCTGTTCTGGTGGCCCTACCATTTTCAGTCATTTTTAGTAGCTAGTAATGGCAATTTTAGAGAAAGCATTTCTCTATCCTAGAGAAGGTTCCCTGATCTGCTGGCCTTCCGATGCATTTGAACACCAGATAATGGAAATTGCCCTCTAGTACGCTTGATGAGCATCAGGTTAGAGAAAGCTATCCTAGAAAAATAGCAATAGCAATAGCAATAGCACTTAAACTTATATACCACTTCATAGTCCTTTTACAACATTCTCTCTAAGCGGTTTACAGTCAGTATCTTGTCCCCAACAATCTGGGTCCTCATTTGACTGACCTTGGAAGGATGGAAGGCGAGTCAACCTTGAGCCAGTGAGAATCAAACTGTTGAACTGCTGGCAGCCAGCAGTCAGCAGAAGTAGCCTGCAATACTGGATTCTAACCATTGCGCCACCACGGCACAGAACCCATAACAACAAGAAAAGATTTCCAACAGTTTCTTTATAAACTCCAAAATCTGTGTGTGTTTGTTCTCTAAGATTTGTGCATTGCTGCCCATAATAAAGAAGTTCTTCCTTCTCCCTGCCTTTGTTTGTTTTTTTAAAAAAACAATCCAGAAACAGAAGCAATTTTTCAGTTAATCCTGCATGAGGCTGTTTGTTTGCAATTGGCTCTGATTCTATTAAAAATAAAAATAATGGTTTTAAGATTTCTATCAAAATCTGGCACTGGCCTCTAAATTTGCCAAGACTTTGCTTCATTGAGCTGAAAAGTTCTTCATTTGCCAATCTTACAGGAAGTGCTTTCAAGTCTAATAGAAGTTTTGACATCAGTGATTGCTGCTGTCAGGCGTAGCTAGCTCTGCAGCTCTGCTGACTAATAATGCAGCCTTTCTCTCTCTCTGCAGAGCATCACGTAGGTACCAATAGCATCTTCAGCTGTCTCTGTCCAAAGGAGGCACTGCTTGCAGCCAGCGATAAGTCAGTGGCCAAGTGTTTTGACTTTTGATCACATGATCGTGGGGATGCTGCAACGGTTGTGTGAAAAATGGTCATAAGTCACTCTTTTCAGTGCCGTCGTAACTTTGAATGGTCACTAAATGAATGGTTGTAAATCGAGGACTACCTATACAGCTTTGTTCTTCAGAGCCCAAGGCCTTAAGTTGGGTTGTCCAGGCATCCCAGTGGTATGTGATTCATTCTCTCTCTCTTTATCTATCTATCTATCTATCTATCTATCTATCTATCT